TATTCTTGTCTTTAGTCTCGGGGTGTACGGTTTCTAAATGTCGACGCAATTTGGCAGGTGCCATGGAACTATTAGGAAGCAGTTTACTACAGAGCATGCAGAGAGGTGAGCCGTTGGAATCAACAAATCCGAAACTGATATAAGATTCATCATACTTCCTTTTTTTCGTCTTTGAAACCGTCGAGCTTGACGTCGTGGCACTCGTGGCATCATCTTCTGGATCGGTGATTGCTAAATTCTCCGCGCGCATTGCTTTTGAACATTCAGCGTCATTAGAAGATGTTGTTGGAACACGTTTAACACCTTTAAGCCAACGTTCCATTCTTCTTTATTTATAATGTTACAAGTCAGGATAGTGGGGTTTAAATAATGCACAATCGTTACTGCGTATAAGAGACTAAATTTAGAACCTACAGGGAAGAAATGTATAAAACTGAGACAACAGAATACAGCAGGCAGTAAAACAATGAACACCAGTTTCTCGCTAGCGAGCTTGTAAGTAGGTAGTAACTTATCGCTCCGAACGCTAATCATCAACTGACGACGCCAACGCGCGATCGCCGCTTTTATACTTAGTCCTAGACTCGATCTCAAATATTCTCGAAAATACTCGAGTCGGCACCTTTGATAAACAAAAAGCAAAAATAAAAACAGAAATTTAAAAATAGCGTTGTAAACAATATCGACTTTATCCTTTGAAGTTAGAGACGAAAGTCGCTAGTTGACAACTATAGCGTCTAATTCAGAGGCGGCTTTTATCAAAGAGACTGAGCGCTTACAAGTATACTACCCGCTCGTTTTAAGTTTGCCGCTGGCGATAGGTATGAGTGTATGACGTTCGAAATTTTTTATTTAATTGTAACAATAAAAATTGTGTACGTTAGATATTTGGGTAAAACTATGACACATTATAAGTTTTGTTGTCACGTGGGGGAGGGTACGCGCATTCCACAGACCGGCAAACTTAGAGCGAACGCGTTGTACAAGTATAAAATTGTTGAGACCAAACTTATGAGATATTGTACCAGCTAATGTAACACAAGCTTATACAAATACAAATAAATAAATAAATAACATTCATAGCGTTTTGTCTCCGCGCGGCCGCGGAGTCCGCACAGCCGCGGAGCGACCAGAGAGAGGTGTTTTGATTTTTTTATTTCTAAATTCTTGCGGAACCCCGACAGAGGTATCACGGAACCCTAGGGTTCCGCGGAACACACTTAGAGTATAGCTGCTTTAGATAATAGATAAATACATGAACCATAGGCTTCTTGGGAAGCATCCACATAGCAATGCATTTCAATAGAATTTGATAATGGAATATCACACAAGACATATCTTGGCAAACTAATATTAGATAAATACGATAAGTTGTTTACAAATTTGACCCACCTTTTTACAAGATATTCTGGTAGGGGATCATCCCAATGAAGCTTAATACTCCATAGGGTTTGAAGGAGAATTTTAGCCTTTATTGTACAACAACAGACCAAACCCAATGGATCAAACAATTTACACGAAGTTGAAATTATAGTTCGTTTCGTGATTTTTGATGTTTCTGTAGTCGATTCAACATTACAAAGAAAGTGTAGGCTATCTGTAAGAGGAGACCATTTTTAACCTAATACCTTAGCCTCATTGTTTAAATCAAGGGGCTTTGAAGACCCTACACTGTCGTTCAATATTTGAGGACAGTTCGATCGGAATTTTCTGAGAGGAAGGCATGCTGATTTTAGAATCTCAGTGACTCCTGAGCATATATACTTCAGTTCCAGCTCACTAGCTGCACCCGTATTTAAGTCATCTATATAAAAATCGTTCTTAATCACCCTAGCTATTGTTTCGTCTGGACAGTCAAGGCTTAGTTGAAGAAGACATCTTGTACGTCAGTACTGTACTGTAACATATGGGTTTTGACAAACGGAGCCGAAGCTGTGCCATATGTTACAGTATTTAATTGAAGGACCCTAACAGGTTGGTCAGTTCGATTCCTTCACAATACAAGCTGAAGATGACGTTGTTATTCGTCCAGAGCTATTTGGCGATACATTTTCTCTATATCTGCAGTGAGTACGTATCTATGAATCCTGAAACGCATCAATATAGAGATAAGGTCACTCTGGACAACAGCTCCAACAGCCTGAATGTCATTAAGGGATTTGCCAGTACTGGTTTTCGCCGACGCGTCGAAAACCACCCGAAGCTTAGTGGTTTCTTTGTCATCGCGCAGCACAGCATGATGTGGAAGGTAACATCCAAATTTTGGTCGCTTTACTTCAGAAAGGTGAACCAAATCCTGATACTCTAATATAAAGTCATTGTATTGAGATCCGATATTTGGATCTTTATGTAATTTCTTTTCTAGATTAGTGAATCGTTTCATTGCTAAATTATAAGAGTGGCCTAACTCCTTTTCCGGAACTTCCTTGAAAGGAATTGCAACAGAAAATCTACCATCAGGTAAACGACGAGTATGTTCCAAAAAATGAGACTCGCAAAAACGTTCTTCTAGGGATTGTGATATACACATATCTTTACTCATTAAGGGGAAATCATCTATCTCCCAAAATCTTTGAAGAGACTCTTGTAGTGAGTCATATGAATTATCCTTTAAAAAATGACAATTCAGTTTAGGTTGAGAAACTTCACATGCTAATCCCACAGGACCAGATACCAACCAGCCAAACTTACTCTTTTGCAAAAAGGGTCCATTAGGCCTCAACTTGATTTGTCTTAAAGCTATTATGTCGAAGAATAAGTCGGCACCCAGCAATAAATCAACCTCTGCTGGATTGAAGAAGTTAGGATCAGCCAGAACAACACTATCAGGGAGATTAAAAGTTTTAACATCAACCTCAGTATTGGGTAAGTATGTAGTAATTTTAGGTATCACACCAGTCAACACCACAGCTGCAGGTATAATTGAGGTTGACAAATGACACTTCCCTGTCGAATTCATCCCATATTGAACATGAATTCGATGTTGTAATGGCAGTTTGCTGACGTGGAACCGGCGCTACTTCATCTAGCGTATTTAGAGGAGGTGCACATCTCCCAACTTTTTGTTTTAATTCACTTAAGGCCCTGTCGAAGTGTGAAGAACTTTTAAAACCCCTTTGCTTAAACCTTGGATCGAGTATTGTAGCTTCTGTGTATAGCGCATGCGATTCTATAATAGAAAATCGTCTTTCTAATTCATAGTCCAGTTTTTGTAAAATAAAATGGATGCGTGTAACTTATGTACGCGCGTGAGAAGTTATACTTCTTTAGCATCATTAAAAATATTTTTTAATTGCATGCAAATAAGTAATAATTACAATAAAATAATAAAAGGACTGGAAAAGGATAGTTAACACAGTCAATTAAGTTCAGTTTTAATTTGAAAAATTAAATAAATATTCAAAATATTCAATTAAAATCACTACTGAATTTAAGTTATTAGTCCATATGTAATTAGCACTTGTAAGTAACTAAAACACGTTGTGTGTATATAGAAACTCGAAATATGTGGATAAATATTATAAATATAAAAACAGTGATCAGAGGCGACGAACGTGCCAACATTGTTTTTGACAACGCGATCATCTTATGGAGCTCCGTGGATCGTTCAAAGTACCTTTCGAACAGATGTCTAATAATGGTGGATTATACTACTATAGTACTGTACTGTTATAGTACTAACATTCATAACGCGCCCGCGGCCAACTTCATGGTGTTACTATTGTGTTACAGTGATGCGCGCGCATCTCGAAATTTCACTCACATGATTTTTTCATAACGCGCCCGCGGCCAACTTCATGCTGTTACTTTTGGGTTACAGTGATGCGCGCGCATCTAAAAATTTCACTCTCATCATTTTTTCATAACGCGCCTAAAGAAGTATAACTTCAATAAGTTATTCACTTCTGGTATTTGAATTCGAGTAGGTTCTTGCAGATGAGCTCTTGTGTGCGACGTCATAATGCGGCAAAGTGGTATTACTTTAGACAGAGTGACATTATTTTCTGCACTGATTTCGCGAGTAACGTTTGAAAAAATTGCTAATACAGGCACAGCGTTTTGAATAACTGACCAGTCGTTATCATTTAATGCTAAGTCACTTCTTAATAACGCTACTGTAGCGATTATTGCATCTTTAACAATCAGTATACGGTTCAACATATCATAGGTGGAATTCCACCGGGTGCACACGTCCTGTTTAAGTTTTGAGTCAGGCAAGCCTAATTGTTTTTGCAGTTTTTTTAATTTTTTTTGACCAGATGAACTTCTTTTGAAGAACTCTACTATTGCCTTCACTTTTACGACTGTAGGAGCAATGTGAGTTATTGCTGTCTGCACGCACAAATTTATAGTGTGTGCGAAACATGATATTTTCCGCCGGTCAGTTTTTCTAATAGCTGCGACAATATTTGCTGCGTTGTCACTTACGATTGCAGTTATTTTATGTGCAACGTTCCATTCGATTCCCAAATCTTTATATATATAATTCTTCTGTGAGTGTGTATGTCACTGAACTTCTCTTAAACGACTGGACCGATTTTGATGAAATTTTTTGTGTGTGTTCAAGGGGATCTGAGATTGGTTTAGATTCACAATTTTGTCCGCTGGACAACCCCTACTTTTTTAGGGCGGTACGAAGTTCGCTGGGTCAGCTAGTTTTTTATAAAATCACACAGATTTATACTCGTATGTCGTTCATTGTACTCCACGCAACCCAGTAAAACTGATTCCAGTACCATACCCTTGTCAGACGTGATCACTTGTGATTATCGAGGTCCAACCATCAATTGTCAAGCATACAGCAGGCGTTTCTTCCATTTTGGCTTTCACATTTTCGTAAATCTTCGCATATAGCTTCGGCAGTAAGCTCTCGCTTAAAGTTTTTCTGGTGGGAAGAGTGTAGCCAGGACACAGCATGTTGACATTTTTTTTAAATTCCTTGTCATCCACTTATCTCAGTGGATGGTACTCTTTCGCAATCATTGTTATTAATTGCTCATCTAACATTTCCGCACGCCGTGGAGGGACAGGCTTTGTACTTTGCATAAAATCTTTAACAGTCTGGACATGCGGTAGCTGTATTTGTAAGGTACTACTGGTCCCAGCAAGGAATTCTGCTCTACTCTATTCTCAATGCCTACCACTTCGCTATCAGGCTGCAGTTGAAGTTTTTGTTCCGAAACCTGAACTGCAGCGGGAGGAGGCTGCCTCTCTACGACGAGAGGGACGGTAGGGTGTTTATTTTTTAAATGTCTTCCCAAATTTCCGACATTCCCATGAGGGATAGTTAGAATTTGGGCACAATACCCGCACTTCGCTTTTTTATTTTCAGCCTCCGTAAAATGAGTCCAAACTGCACTCCTCTTTCTTTGAAGAGGGGCCATTTTTAATCTATTCTACACTATATACACTATCTATACTATACACTATACAATCCTTCCTTCCACTACTGTCCTTGATTTATTATTTATTTACACACTTTTACAATGTCCTTTTCTGTTGCACATTTACACACACTAAAAATACTATTTTCATAAAAATACGAAAGCCAAAACAAATTTAAATCAATTAAAATTACTCACAGACTCTACTCCTACAACTCAACAGAAACAAAACAGTTAGATTCCATACTTTAGTTTAAAGAATGCAAACAAACAAAAAAAAAAATGGTTGCCTGTAAAGTCGGTTTTACGGGCGAAGATTTTACGTGACAACGTCTTTTTCTCGGTAGAATATTTATTGATATGAATATAATTAAATTGCACAATAGGAACAAGGAATTGAATGAAAATAAGAATTGCACAAATTTTAACTATAGAAATATATTTTGTTTACTAAAACATTGTACATGTAAACTTAAACTTAACACGAGAGACTCATCGTAAAGTTACCGAGCGTTACACTTTTTCATAAGTGACTCCCAGCCGCAACCTAATTTAAGACGTTGTCACGTCAAAATTTAAAAACAATGCCAACAGATGTGATCCTATCATTAGTTAAAATTTGCTCCGCTAACGAATTTGTTCCTTAACGTAATACGCGGAAGATATACTTAGGCTCACAGCATGTTCATTTCACGTTTCGTCTCACTCTCAGTACACATGCGCAGAATTATTTATTCTCTCTCTATTCTACTCACTGATACCAAATACATGTTTGTTTCATTCTGAATCAGAATTAAATCCGATCTGACATGAATCCTAACACAGGGATATAAAGAGTTATTTTGAAAGCAAGTGATATACGGATGTAATCACTCCCTCAGTCAGAAACATATCTTTTTCGTTAATCACTCAGGAGTTACACAAGTGTCTTCTTTCATTCAAAGCACACCCAGTGGGCCAATCGCCTAACCAGATTGCTTTGGAAAACGCTATCGCTTACGATTTCATTTTGTTATTTCTAACCGCCGAAATACCTCACGCTCATTTTCTTTAACATTGTTATTACCAATGCAAAAGAAAAAAAAAACCGGCCAAGTGCGAGTCGGACTCGCGCACCGAGGGTTCCGTACAAACCTGCAAGGTTTACAAAGTTCGTTCATTACGACAATCGAGTCATAACTATGGTATTTTTATTGCAAAATGAAATTCATAACATTACAATGGGGAAAGATGGAGGAGCATAAATTTAAGACAAAGATCTCTTTATCGTTTAAGTAATCCTTTATTTTATATTAACACATATCATTTATCTATAATATAACTGAAACACTTATACTAGCCTTGCAGCAGACTTGCGAAAGTTCTTTTATTAAAGTTATTTATTTACTAAGTTTTTTAGTCACTATTTAGAAATCTGGTAAGTATTTGATATGAATTTCAACTTGATAGCTCTACGCGTTCATGAGGAAAAAAGTAATAAGTTTATATTTATTAAAAAATATATATTTTGTAATGTAACTAAAAATTTAAGGTTTTCGGAATTTTTCCTTTATGTGTGCTATAAAACGTTGCTTCATGCCAAATTTCAAGATTCTAGGTCGACTGGAAGTACCCTTTAGGTTTTGATTCCCTTGCGAGTACTTGCGAGTTTCAAAATATGCAGCTTAAATTGCTGTTTCTTTTGATTGCGTTGACATAGAAGTTTGATTTTGTTACAGCTTAAAGGTATTATAGACCTGAGTATTTGGTATGAATTTCAATTTAATACCTCTACGCGTTTATGAGGAAATGGGTAGTAAGGTTAAAATTATTAAAAAAAATATATTATGTGATGTAACTAAAAATTTATGGTTTTCGTAATTTTTCCTTTATCTATGCTATAAGACGTTGCTTGGTACCAAATTTCAAGATTCTGAGTTCGCGGGAAGCACCCTGTAGGTTTTGATTCCCTTGCAAGTGTCGAAAATTTGCGGCATAAACGGCTGTATCTTTTGATTGCGTTGGCTTAGAAGTTTGATTTTTTCACAGCTTCAAGGGACAGTAGACCTGAGTAATTGATATAAATTTCAGCTTCATACCTCCACGCGTTCCTGAGAAAAAGGGTCTTGACAGACGGACGGACGGACGGACAGACGGACAACAAAGTGATCCTATAAGGGTTCCGTTTTTACTTTTGAGGTACGGAACCCTAAAAAGAGCGCGAGGCATTTGAAAACCTCAGGGGGCTAGAAATAACAAAATGAAATCGTTTTTATGGGTCGTTTTAATTTTCAGTTTAGTTTGGCATGAAAGACAATTCTTTGTGTCTTGACTTCCTTAGCTTCATCTTCACATTTTTCTGGTTTATCAGAACCAAGTACTCTTGTCAAAATCTAACTCTTGCCAGTTCTCAATCACTCGTTAACTATTTGGATTATTTATACATATCCAAGAGGAGCTCGATGGTGCAAATGGTTAGCGCCTTTGGCTGCGATCATTGAAGTTAAGCAACTTTCGCGGTGGTCGGTCATCAGATGGGTGACCAACATTTTTCTCTAGAGCTCCTCCGTTGGCTCCTCAGAGTGCGCGGGCGCGTTGCCGTGGTGAAGAAGGACCCCGCGGAGCCCGGTGTTAGGTCGGTTGTGCAGAAAAAACTTGTGGCAGGCATTTTGTGCTATAACATTCGGCTTTGATGCTGCTTTGGTCTCGAAGTGGAATTGAAATTAGACACCCCGTCAAAGTGAAGAAACTAGCGATCAAAATTTTCCCTGCGCTCCTCGATCGTTTCACTTTCGTGGGCGTCGGTTAATTTTGAATCAGCCAAACTGTCGACTGACGCTTTGTTTCTGGTACGTATTGATAATAATATTTCCAACACTCACACCAATTAGCCTAGCCCCAAAGTAAGCACTGTAAGGCTTGTGTTATGGGATACTAGGGTAACGGGTAGAATACATATACTGTACATTTATAAGTATACTAGCTGACCCAGCGAACTTCGTACCGCCATAAAAAAAAATTATTAAAAAAACATTGTCCAGTGGACAAAATTGTGAATCTAAACCATTCTCAGATCCCCTTGAACACACACAAAAAATTTCATCAAAATCGGTCCAGTCGTTTAAGAGAAGTTCAGTGACATACACACTGACAGAAGAATTATATATATAAAGATTTATGTAGAAGTACAGATGCTCGTATTCATCCACCGAGTTGGCGACACCATGTAAACCGGCGTACAAACCACTTGGCCACGGAGGACGTCCAGTCCATTGATAAATCCAGGATTCGTCACCTGTCACAATATGGTAAATGCGCCGTGACGAGCCTGCATCATATTTTTGTATCATATCACTGCACCAATCCACATAACCCGAGAGCCGGCTGTATGATCAGATACATGAATCATTTTTGGGGTATGAACAATAAAGCCATTGGTCTAGAGGTCGACCCCCCTGAAGTTGCTTGATTTTGCCCGCATGCAAAATTATGTAATTGTAATGTATCAAATACATCAAGAAAATGTATGTCAAATGAAAGATTTTGATGAGTAGAATATAAATGTTAAGGGTCGACAAGCTCTATTTATTCGCTACCCTGAGTCGACCACCATTTTTTTTTAATTTATCTAAAGCCATTGGAATACATGGATTTGTTAACGATTTTCTGAAACTAGAACCTCTCAAATGACTGAAAAAAATTGGTCGACACCTTTTATTTGCCCCGATCTGACTGTCGACTTAGTTTGAAGAATTAAAGAGCCTATGCTTATAATAGTAATTAATGTACAGTAATGTTGGAGTCAAGGAATTAATTGGAAAAAAAATATCAATATTTTTGAAAAAGATATGCATATCATTAAATAACTAAACATACATAGAATTGAAATATACACTTCTGGACACATCTATTGGCCCACCTTGTATTTTCAGTTTCGTTTGGTCCTAGCTAAAATTTTATATTAGGTCGAGCAAAAATTTTTTATGCAGTTTTGAACCTGGCACATTCACAATTTCATTCAATAGTCTTTTTTTGAATTTCGAACACAGAATTTAAAGAAACAAAAGACAATTTGGAGCCTGTTTGTTGATATCAAACAATCGAATACTAAGAAAACTTGGTTTTCTTGCTTTAATTCGGATTTAATTCTTGAAAAAGTGATTGATATCTTTGGTCTTGCAACAAACATTACTTATTCTTAACATTAAGGTGAGATTCTATCAATAATCTATGGATACTTCACATGAAGTCGCCGCCCAAGCTGTGGCACTTATTCAGGCCGGACACAGCCAAAGAAACGTGAGTGCTCAACTTAATTTTTGCTTTGTTCGTCGCCAAGGAAGGCCACGATCTCGGGTCACAACTGAAAGGCAGGATCGATTCATCGTGACGACCAGCTTGAGAAATCGTCACCTTACCTCCATTGAGATACAAAAACAAATTCGCGACTTCCACGGAGTATCTGTGAGCGCTCGAACTGTTCGGAGAAGGTTAAAAGAACGCGATATGGTACCACACAAGCCAGCTAATGGGCCCAAACTAACGCGAGCCCACCGAACAGCGCGCCTTCATTTCGCACGCAGTCATTTAAATTGGACACAGCAAGATTGGAGCCGTGTACTCTTTTCTGATGAGTCTAAAATTGTGTTACATGGCAATGATGGAAGGAAGAATGTCTACCGACGTAAGGGAGAGCGTTTCGCACAATGCTGCTTTGAAGAGAGGGTTGCTTATGGCGGTGGCTAATGGACTGTCTGGGGCGGTATATCCGCGAGCGGCAAAACTCAACTTGAGGTTGTTACAGGACCACGGCTGCCAACATTAAATGCTGAAAGGTACATTCGTGAGT